GTCATCGAAGCTACCAACATGAATTTGACCCAACTCCAGGAGGCAGTGGAAGACAGGAGGGCCTGGCATGCTCTTGTCCATGGGGTCACAAAGAGTCGGACACGACTGAACGACTAAACAACAATTCTTTTTAGGTTCTCCTGAGGTCTATCACCCACGTGTTACAGGGAATGGGGAGGAAGCATTTGATTAGCTGCAGGAGGGTGCAGAAAATGCTGAGGCTGATTCTGAATTGTCCCAGTCTTTTACCAGTACAGGGATGCATGAAATATACTAAACTTTTCTAAGAGATGCTAAGACCAGCTACCTAAATTTCCTCCCTTGGCTTGTCTTCAGAATATTTCCTAACTGAGAGAGCACTGTTAATACTTACAGCATCATTTTATTTCTCTCAGATAACTGGACTGACTGAGCTCAGTTAAGCCCAGAGATCCATTGCCATCTGCCTGAAAGAAACGTTAATCAGTATTTTGAAACCTGCAGTATATAAATATTGTATTTAACTGTCACCTTTGCTAACCCATAATTTCATTCCTTATATGTTGTGCAGTGCGACTTTTAGCAACAAACTGCCATAATTTAAGAACTTTCCATAGGTATTATCTCCTGCATGCAGTCTCAACATTTTACGGAATATATAATGCCTACATATGTTTCTTAACATACAGCAATTCACCACTATAAATTATACCTTTTGTGTAACTGCAAGAGGATTTTGGCCCATGAGTTCCTGGACAGTTTTAAGAAAAGTTCTCCAACTCCATCCCAATACCACCTTACCTGAATGCATTTCCTCCTTAAAGGAACAGTGCCTCTTAGAATGCTAACAAAGGTGAGCATTCACATTTACAAGCCTTCAAGGTTAATCAAAGGATTAGCAAGAAGACGGGAGAAATAAAAAGCTAGCTTTTGTGACCCAGAGCAAGAGAGCTCTCAAGGGAATCTGTTTTGGGAATTCTTACTGCTTTGCTCAAATACTGCCAAGAATTGCAGAAAGGAGCTCACTTTGCAGAGAGCTGCAGATTAGGATAAAGAACTCAAGAACAATTCTTGATACCATCAGGGTGACTGGAAATTGATGGAAAGCAGCATAAAGCAACTCGCATGGGGAGAGAAACCCTTGGGACTTCCTACACCAATGGAATCATTTATCTTGAGAGTTGCTGTTAATAATGATCATGAAGCAAGAGGAGGAAAATAGTGTATTTTGACACTGGAGAAGTTGATAGGAAAAATGTCATGTGAACAAATTGCAGCCACCCTTAGGCTACCCTGTACAAGAAAATTTTCTCCCTCCCCAATTAACTGTTGGTGGCCTGAGAGAGGTTGGGGCCCCTTTCTTCCCAAAAGAGTTAACTTAGACTGGAATATTTCAAGTATGAATGGGCTAAAGTGAGCAGCAAACAGACACATGGGAGCCAATGACATGAATAGTAGGAGCTCCAGGGCAAACATGTAGCTGGATTCTTAATAAGCACCATGAAATGCCCTGCCACAACATCTGGCGACTGTTTTCTAACACTGCTTTGTGCACAGCAAGAGCAGCTGTGTTATCCCTTGCATACGTAAGGAGCTATATATCTAGGACCACAACAGAGAAGCACAGAAGATCAAAGCACAGTTTTGCATAATCACACACCTTCCGAAGGCATTCTGTTCTCACAAATGGACCCTGCCGGTGACTTTCACTGCACTAATTTACAGACAGATATTTGGACTAAAACCTAGCCTTGATCTAACTCGTCCGGGTTTGGTGAGGAGTAACAAGTCTTCTTGTTGTTGTTGTTATCGTCTTCTGAGACCCCACTGCAACAGACTTTCCCTCCAGCAGTATGCTGTATCTGCCACAACACAGATTTTAGTGCATTTGTAGCCGGTGCAGCAGCCCTAATTAGGAAGACAATATAGCTTTATCAAAGCAGGAGGATTTACAAGCTCAGCTTTACATAAAAATACAAAAAGGAACAGCAACTCTTACATGAAGTTGGAAGCGGGCGGTACAGTTCTGTCACAGCTGGAGTGTTATCTGCCGCTAACCCTGATTCTGCAGGTGCTGGTCTTTCTACAAAAGGTGGACTTACTGGTTGTGATCGCCTCCTTTTCTCAGTGCACAGGGATTACTGGGATTAACGCCTCTGGCAGCGACACAAGGGGCACCCACTTCTCTGGAAGAGAGCAAAGCCTTCCAGCTACTTTATGTAATTGGAAGTTAAAAGACCAGCACAGCCTTCTAATCTCAGATTAGTGGTTTATACCAGACATCTTTCTCTTCCAGGGCAGTGACGGATATAGTGCCGGTGCAGTGATGACTGAAGGGCCCATTTTGCATGCTGGAGCGCTAGATAGCTGCAGCCTCCATTGAGCAAACCCATTTTGCATGCTCGTGTGTGCCCAAGCTTTCAGCACACATTGGGAACTAGGCCACGCCGGTAGACAGGAACACAAGGGCCAGCCGAACGCAAACGCCATGTTGGGAGAAGTGTAATTTCAGATGATTTCTCTGCAGTTCATGCCTTATAAGCCATGCCTCTCTGAGGCTGGACCAGGGTGGAGGGGAGGACACCCGATGCTTGTCTGCTATCGCTTCCAGCTGACAGGCCACAACACAGGAGTCTTCTGCAAGTAGGCCTGGAAAGCCGCCTCCTTCCCCCATCTCTTCATGGCTGCTTTCTCCAGGAGTGGGATCCCACTGACATAATTCAGCAAGAACCACACCAGCAGCGGCGAGATGATGCTGAGGAATTGCCACCCACGCAGAACGGATACAGCTGAGAGAAAAAGTCCTGTCCACAGCAAGATCTCACCAAGGTAGTTAGGGTGGCGACTGTACGCCCACAAGCCGCTCTGGATGAACCTGCCCTGGGGAAATAAAATAGAAGGCTTATGAAATCGCTCTCCTGCCAGATGCTGGACAACATCACAGCAATTCAGCCTTAACATGTAGTAACTCTAAACAAGGATGCTGTGCTGCATCTGCACCTATTTCCCAGGTTCCTTCCTGCGAAAGTTCCTCCTGCGTTTCCTTTCTTTTTTATTTTTAATGACCAGGTGCACCAATCTGTACTTTCTGCTTCAACCCACACAGGAGAATTTCATTAAGTATTCTATCTTTCTGCACGTTATGTGTTTTATGATTTCTTAGCCTATTCATTCATGTTGGGACTTCATCACTGGCCAGTCCCTTGCTCCAAGAAAAATTCCTGGGTCCAGGAATTCACCTCTACATTGCAAAAGACTGTATATTTCCCCACCGCTGCCTGTGCAGAGAAATCGATTGTCCGTGATTGCATTCCACACAACATCACTGGGACCACACAGCACTGTAAAATGTCCCATGTGTCAAAACCATTTCCAAATGTTTGTTGCATATTATGAGATTCCTGCACTGAGCAGGGGGTGGGGGTGGGGGCTCAGTAGGCCCCTTCCAACTCCATCATTCTACGAAATCTTCTTCATCTTAAGAAAGCTGCTCTGGCTGTCTCTATGCTAACTTTCATTGTGTTGCTGTGTGTCCATTGTTCATTCAACCAAATTACAAGGTACAGTACTTAGATTTGCCAGCATGCCTCTTTTCCTTTTTGATCTTTTGAGTACCCTTGTTGAGCCTCTTGGTTCTTTACTGATTGCCATGACATTTAATTGGCAACAATTACAGAATTCTTATATAATAATAACAATTACGATAATAGTGACACCAACTTCAAAGTTACCTTCTCTACCAGCTGGATTGCCCAGTGTTGCTAAATCACAATGCCTGTGTTTGCATGCCTAGGAGCTCCCAAACTGAGTCCTGCCTACCAGAATGTCATACTGAAATAAAAAGAACTTGTCATAATTGGATACGCTTCTGTTGGGGAACAGGCAGCCCATTTGGCCATAGAAATATAAATATGCAGTCTTCTAGTAATTTTCTAAAAGGGAGTGCGAGATGTGCAGCCCTCCAAATGAAGGAGGACTACAATTCCCATCTTCCTGCACCATTGGCTAGGCTGGCTATAGATGAAACCAGTACACCAGTGACAACTGGAGTGCCCCAGTGGGCTGGCATAGCAAGTTACTGTCAAAGGATGTTGGATCAGCAAAGTCAGAGTTCTTCTATTGACGTTTCGACTGCTTCTGCCACAAATTATATGTTGTGTCTTTGTCTCCGTTTCTTTCTGGTTTAGTAGAGGCCGGTGGGCTGGAGTACCAGGCCGCAAAGCTGGGTGCTAGGAGTTCAAATTGCCACAGTGCCTCCTGAGAGAAGGGCCAGCCAAGATCACCCTGAACTTGTGCAGCTGATTTGTCTTGGGCATGCTGCACAGTCCTTAAGCACCCTTAGAAGGAAAGACTGGTAAAATACTTCTGAGTGCTTTACACCTAGAAAACCCTGGGAGGGCTGCCATAAGCTGAAATCAACTTGACAGCACATGATGTTGATGCCGCCAATGAAGCTACTTTGTAAGGCATGCTTTAAACCGGTATACTCCTAGAAACTGACATAAAACTCTCAGTGACTGGATGCTTCATTGTGAATAATGGATACACAGTGAGGGTGGAAAGAGCCACAGGCATAAGTGAATGTGGTAGAAAATCTTACCACATGCCTTATTTTATGATCCCTGAAGAAAAAGGCTCTTACTTGAAGAAACAGACAGACATTCAGGGTTCTACAAATCCTTCACAGCGAGGCCAGGATTTCTGAGAACCACAAGAGTTTTTAAGTGCTTGGATCCTCTCAGTTGAGCAGATACCTCACAGCAGTAGCCCAACTATGAGGCTCTAGTGGCCTGTGATTTCCTCTTTCTCCTCAGTGTAGCGTTTATTGAGGAACAAAGCAAGGGTTCTTCTTTGTGGTCTCTGTGCATCACACACACGAGGGCTCCACACAAACCGAAACTTAAAGAGCAACCTGTTCAAGTAAATCCTCTCCCCCCCCCCTTTTCTCCTTCAGGTGAGCCCAGGGGGCAGGGCTTCCCCAAGACCTATAGGGATAAACTCTGTGGGCCGTATTAGCACCACAGGCTTCCCTTCCTGTGTTGTAAGAGGTTTTCAATTAGCCACATCAGTATCTGTAAAAAAGCAAAACAAAAGCTTTAAACAAAAGCCCCCAAGGATCAATTTGTACAAATCCATTCCACTACTATGCAGCGCATGGATTTATCTGCAGTTAAACAGAAAAGGCTTCTTGTGAGTGAACTCATTAATGCCAACTGCAACGCAGTAGAGAACCTCACCGCCATTACTTACCGCATTATCTGGATTGCTTCTGTAGTGCCACTTCTGTTGGTCAGCTACTGCCTCTGTGATGAACCCCAAGGCCCACATGCTCCATCCGAGGTAGTCCCAAAATCCCAGACGCTTCTCGTGTTTCTCCAGGTTCAGAATCAGAGTGGGGAGCAGGGTTACAAACACCCAGATGCCTACAGAAATAATATGCCAGAGGCTGAGACTGCAATCCTAGCCTACACACTTTCTCAAGAACAAGTCCCATTGAATTCTGTGGGGCTGATTTCTGAGTAGACCTGCACAACATCACACTGCAAGCCTATAGCTGAACAGCTACACCAGGAAGCATCACAAAATGCCATCCTAAAGGCCCGAGTGCTATTCGATCTGGTTAGATGGCACATGCGCTCCGTGTATCCTTTTCTGAAAAATCCTTTCGCTGTCTAAGATTCAGCAAGGATATTTAAATTCTATAAGGTGAACCGTTGCTCTTTCTGTAGCACAAAGGATCTCCCCACCCACCTTTCCTGGGAAAAACCCACCCTCTTTTTGCTGTGTGTCCTGCTCTGCACCCTGTGTCTCTAGGATTTCCCTGGTCCTCACTCATACACTTTGGAGTTTATCTTCATACTGAAATAAAAAGAACTTGTCATAATTGGATACGCTTCTGTTGGGGAACAGGCAGCCCATTTGGCCATAGAAATATAAATATGCAGTCTTCTAGTAATTTTCTAAAAGGGAGTGCGAGATGTGCAGCCCTCCAAATGAAGGAGGACTACAATTCCCATCTTCCTGCACCATTGGCTAGGCTGGCTATAGATGAAACCAGTACACCAGTGACAACTGGAGTGCCCCAGTGGGCTGGCATAGCAAGTTACTGTCAAAGGATGTTGGATCAGCAAAGTCAGAGTTCTTCTATTGACGTTTCGACTGCTTCTGCCACAAATTATATGTTGTGTCTTTGTCTCCGTTTCTTTCTGGTTTAGTAGAGGCCGGTGGGCTGGAGTACCAGGCCGCAAAGCTGGGTGCTAGGAGTTCAAATTGCCACAGTGCCTCCTGAGAGAAGGGCCAGCCAAGATCACCCTGAACTTGTGCAGCTGATTTGTCTTGGGCATGCTGCACAGTCCTTAAGCACCCTTAGAAGGAAAGACTGGTAAAATACTTCTGAGTGCTTTACACCTAGAAAACCCTGGGAGGGCTGCCATAAGCTGAAATCAACTTGACAGCACATGATGTTGATGCCGCCAATGAAGCTACTTTGTAAGGCATGCTTTAAACCGGTATACTCCTAGAAACTGACATAAAACTCTCAGTGACTGGATGCTTCATTGTGAATAATGGATACACAGTGAGGGTGGAAAGAGCCACAGGCATAAGTGAATGTGGTAGAAAATCTTACCACATGCCTTATTTTATGATCCCTGAAGAAAAAGGCTCTTACTTGAAGAAACAGACAGACATTCAGGGTTCTACAAATCCTTCACAGCGAGGCCAGGATTTCTGAGAACCACAAGAGTTTTTAAGTGCTTGGATCCTCTCAGTTGAGCAGATACCTCACAGCAGTAGCCCAACTATGAGGCTCTAGTGGCCTGTGATTTCCTCTTTCTCCTCAGTGTAGCGTTTATTGAGGAACAAAGCAAGGGTTCTTCTTTGTGGTCTCTGTGCATCACACACACGAGGGCTCCACACAAACCGAAACTTAAAGAGCAACCTGTTCAAGTAAATCCTCTCCCCCCCCCCTTTTCTCCTTCAGGTGAGCCCAGGGGGCAGGGCTTCCCCAAGACCTATAGGGATAAACTCTGTGGGCCGTATTAGCACCACAGGCTTCCCTTCCTGTGTTGTAAGAGGTTTTCAATTAGCCACATCAGTATCTGTAAAAAAGCAAAACAAAAGCTTTAAACAAAAGCCCCCAAGGATCAATTTGTACAAATCCATTCCACTACTATGCAGCGCATGGATTTATCTGCAGTTAAACAGAAAAGGCTTCTTGTGAGTGAACTCATTAATGCCAACTGCAATGCAGTAGAGAACCTCACCGCCATTACTTACCGCATTATCTGGATTGCTTCTGTAGTGCCACTTCTGTTGGTCAGCTACTGCCTCTGTGATGAACCCCAAGGCCCACATGCTCCATCCGAGGTAGTCCCAAAATCCCAGACGCTTCTCGTGTTTCTCCAGGTTCAGAATCAGAGTGGGGAGCAGGGTTACAAACACCCAGATGCCTACAGAAATAATATGCCAGAGGCTGAGACTGCAATCCTAGCCTACACACTTTCTCAAGAACAAGTCCCATTGAATTCTGTGGGGCTGATTTCTGAGTAGACCTGCACAACATCACACTGCAAGCCTATAGCTGAACAGCTACACCAGGAAGCATCACAAAATGCCATCCTAAAGGCCCGAGTGCTATTCGATCTGGTTAGATGGCACATGCGCTCCGTGTATCCTTTTCTGAAAAATCCTTTCGCTGTCTAAGATTCAGCAAGGATATTTAAATTCTATAAGGTGAACCGTTGCTCTTTCTGTAGCACAAAGGATCTCCCCACCCACCTTTCCTGGGAAAAACCCACCCTCTTTTTGCTGTGTGTCCTGCTCTGCACCCTGTGTCTCTAGGATTTCCCTGGTCCTCACTCATACACTTTGGAGTTTATCTTCTTAGCTGCTTCTAGCCATTGATCTTCTGTGAAAGACCAGATTGGTGTGTCTGAGCAGAAGAGCACACTTTAGGCAGAAGGAGAAGCCCTGGCTTAGATCCTGCAGGTGGCTCACTGATTTTCCAGGATGTCCTGGCCACCCCATGGCCCTTTCCGTAGGCTTTCTCACCCCTCTGTGTAGCATTTCAGGAGGGAGCGATGAAAGCTGCTTCGGCCAGGCGTAAGTGTACCCATGCAAATATGGAGCCAAGCTCTCGAACAACAATTTTACCATTCAGAATCATTTGGAACCATGTATGCAGTGGGACTTTCTACCAGCCATGTTCAGTGATCTCCAGCCTGCAGTTGAACAAACCAAAGATCAATCCATTTGTGCAAGAACATACTGGATTCTTCCTTGCAGAATATCTGGAAATATCCTGCTACTCATATAACACAACATTGTGCTTGCACAAGGGAGCAATAAGATTCTGACCCAAGATAATAATGTGCCGTCTTCTATTGTAACCAGAGTGGATTAGAGCAGACTGACCAAAAAAACCTACAATAAGAATTATAATAATACAACACAATAAAATACAATACATTACCATAATAATAATAATATATCAGTTCTAAAGATTGTTAGAAGATAAAGAACAGTGGTTCCCAACCTTGGGTCTCCAGACATTCTTGGATTACAGCTCTCAGAAATCCTGGCCAGCACAGGTAGTGGTGACAACTTCTGGGAGGTGCAGTCCAAGAACATCTGGGGACCCAAGATTGGGAACTACTGATATACAGCAATTCTTGCTAAGAAAAACCAATAGCAGTTAGGCTAAAATATGTTACACATAAAATAAAATGACACTAGTTAGACGTTTAAAAAAGCTATGTGCTAGAATTTTATTGAAAACATGTCTTCCATATCTGAAGAAGATGAATACACAAATGGGGATCTCAGTGTATCTCAGTAGGAATAGCATTAAAGAGTTGTGGCACTGTCACAAAAATGCCCCCACTCTCTGCTGTTCACATGGCAAATAACTCCAAGTAGTTTGAAGAACAAGGATGGTCTCGACTCCTGGAACAAGCAAGTCCTAAAGTTAACACATCTGTAAACCACTGAGGGCAGCATCTTCAAAGTTAGTGCCCACCAAATGCATTGGACTTCAACTCCCATGATCCTTCACCACTGGCTGTATTGCTTGGGACTGATGGGAAATGCAATCTTGCAGCTGGGGAAAGTGAGATTAGGGTTTCAAAGGTGAGAACAGGGATGGGCACGTTGTGGCCCTCTGTATGTTGTTGGAATGTAATTCCCACCAGCCCTAACCAGCATTCCTAATGGCCAGGGCTAATGGGAGCTGCAGTCCAACTATATCTAGGCAGGCCACAATTTGCCTACTCTTGGTGACCCACTGGCATTACGAATAAAGGCCAGATGCAAATAGCATGAGCACCACTACATGCAAGGGAACGGTTACATTGACAAAAAGAACTGCTTTTGAATTGGGTTTTGATTAATTAAAATTGATTTGAAAAATCTCAACTACATGACATGGTAAAGCCTGCTTTTTTTTTTTAACCTCAGAGTGAGTTGTGTTTTTGTTGTTGTTGTTTGACAAGGCTAGCGGGTGCTTTTTAATTTAACACACTTTTGAAATCGATCCTTTATGTATCGCTTCAGGCAATGTGAACACCCCTGTTGTATTAAAAACTGCCTCTGTAAGCAGTCAGAGGTTTCCAAAGTAATCTCACTATGTTGCCATGTCACTTACAATTTATTCTTTTTAAAAAAAGAGAGCAAAAGGCACTCATTCCAAAGGAGGCCTGAAAATGGAAGAAATACTGCACAATCCTGAAAACAAACGGGAAAGAGAAGGTTGCAATCATGGACAATGTGCTGGGATCAGCGACAATGGAAACTGCGCAGTCTGCAAACATGCTGGTTAATGAAATGATTTAAAAACTCACGTGTAGTTTCTCAAAGCAGTGCTAAACCCTTACGTTATACTGGAGTAATAATTTTTAAAGTGAACATACACAGCAATATGAAAACCATGTGACTGAAAACTGATTTAAAATACATCAGAACTAGAGATGGTTTGGCAGTTTGGCGTGGTTCGCATCCCACCTCTACAGCTGATCTTCCAGTGGGTACCCATCGGAGGCAGTGCCCGGAGGAGGCAGGCGGGGGGGGCTGCCACCAAGTAGGCCCCCAGTAGAGGTGGCAGGGTGCCAAACTGTGGATCTGCTGTTTGCCCGAGAAACCAAGTAGCAGCCTGTGCCCATCTCCAATGATTTATTTATTTATTTATTGGACTTATATACCGCCCCATAGCGCTACAAGCACTCTCCGGGCGGTTTACAATTTAATTATACAGGCTACACATTGCCCCCCCAGCAAGCTGGGTACTCATTTTACCAACCTCGGAAGGATGGAAGGCTGAGTCAACCTTGAGCCGGCTACCTTGGATTTGAACCCCAGGTCGTGAGCACAGTTTTAGCTGCAGTACAGCGTTTTAACCACTGCACCACGAGGCTCTTCAATGATAATTGAAACAAATAGAAATCAGCTGTGTAACCACGTCCTAGATCACCCAGGTGTGAACCTGATCAAGCTTCCAGTCAGCACTTCCTGGAAGTGAGATCTTTGCATCCATATTGATTGTCCAATATCCTCACCTTGCATTGTCCAGTAAAGAAAGAAGGTGGCTGGATTCTCTCTTACACCGTTAAATCGTCTATCGTGCCCCTCCGTCAAGATCCGCAAGAAGAGGAAGAGCCCCAACCTGACAACAGCAGATGCAACAGAACACATTGGCAACGAAGTGTGTTTCTATACATAAGCCTATAAACCATTGCTGAATATCAACCAGCATTTAGGACCGGCTGCCTCTTTAGAATTACCATTCAGCAGAACTGCTACATCTTTCCTTTCTTCTTTGGTGGCTTTGTTCTTCCAATGCTAAAAACATCAGGACAAACGTTTGCTGAAATGAGTCATGGGAAAAGGTTTTGTGTGGTTAAAAATAAAAAAAATGTCTATTTAAGAAAGGATGACTGCCACAACCTATAAATATTGAGCAGATCAAATATTATCTCACTGTGCATAATTTAGTCTGTATTTTTAATATTATAAAAATAACGAGAATAAAAATGGATTATGAAGAACTACAAAAGGACCTGGAGCTGTTTGTGGTTCTGATCATCAGCTTCTTACAGCAAAATTCAAGCTTAAACTGAAGAAAGTAGGAAAGTAGCCCACTGGGCCACTCAGGTACTGTATAAGCTAAACCAAACCCCATATGAATACACAGTGGAAGTGAAGAACAGATTTAAGGAACTAGATTTGGTGGACAGAGTGCCTGAAGAACTTTGGATAGAGGCTCGTAACATTATACATGAGGCAGCAACAAAAACCATCCCAAAGAAAAGAAAATGCAAGAAATCAAAGTGGCTGTTCAACGAGGCCTTACAAATAGCAGAGAAGAGAAGGGAAACAAAATCCAAGGGAGATAGGGAAAGTTACAGAAAACTGAATGCAGACTTCCAAAGAATAGCAAGGAGAGACAAGAGGGCCTTCTTAAATGAACAGTGCAAAGATATAGAGGAAAATAATAGAAAGGGGAAAACCAGATATCTGTTCAAGAAAATTGGAGATATTAAAGGAACATTTTGTGCAAAGATGGACATGACAACGGATAAAAATGGGAGGGACCTCACAGACGCAGAAGACATCAAGGAGAGATGGCAAGAATACACAGAGGAATTACATCAGAAATATACCCGGACAACCCAGATAGTGTGGTTGCTGACCTTGAGCCAGACATCCTGGAGAGTGAAGTCAAGTGGGCCTTAGAAAGCATGGCTAACAACAAGGCCAGTGGAGGTGATGGCATTCCAGTGGAACTATTTAAAATCTTAAAAGATGACCCTGTTAAGGTGCTACACTCAATATGCCAGCAAGAAATCTTACAGAACAACCTGTCTGGTTTTCAACAGGCAATGCTCACACACGAGATATGCTTCTGCAACTAAAAAGGCTAGAAAGGTGTTTCTGAAAAATAATGAAAATTACCCCAATCCCAAAAACCCTTCTCAGTATACCCACACTGATTAGGTGGAATTATGTAGATTGAGCTTAAAAAGAATCATGGCATAAACACAGTCTGTCCCATGTGGGAACATAATAGGGGCTATAAACATAACCCAACTCCTAGAGAAGAAACAGTTCTGTTAAGAAGTGACTAAAATGTAAAAACTCCATCATAAAATACCACATTCACTTCAAAGGAAATGCTTTGATTTTATACAGAACTCTATCATTAGCCAGTTCCTGGAACATGCATTGGTTAATAGCCACTAACTCACCCTCTCCTGGGAGTCCATATTTTTAAGCTTGCAGCAACTGGGAACCTGAGCTAAACTTTCATCTCCTTTCAATGTATACGATTGGTTAGAAACTCACCTGAGGCCCCAAATGGTTACCAGTGTTGTCTGGATTTGCTGCCGAGGATGCTGTGTGTTGCCCCATCTGAGGCTCAGGTGTGCCAGCAAAATGAATGTCCCACTTCCTAGAGAGAGAGAAAGAGAGAGAGAGATGCACCAGAAGTTTAAACCAAGAGCATGACCATGACACCTTTCTGGCATGGCACAGGGCAGTGAGAAGGAACCCTAAAAACAATTGTTTTGTAGCAAAAACAATCATCTGCATTACCTCTGGGGTTCCACTATCTCTCATTTTCAGCCTGTTGTCATGGAATCATAGAGCAGGAAGGTGCCTACAAGGCATCAAGTCCAAACCCTTGCTCAAGGCAGAAACCCAAATCAAAATAGATTTGGGTCCGCCCCATCTCTTGTTTAATCTCTGGTTGCATGTGATATTCATCCTGTGTCTTGCAAACCTGGAAGACCTTTCTGCTTCTGGAGCTGCATCATATGATCAATAATACTAGCAGATCATTTAGCACTATTTAAATATGGATATTCCGTCTTCCTTCTGGAAGCCTTCCCCTCAAAATATGTCACAGCAAGATCCTCCCCAAAATGTCTCCAACAAGGCTAAATTTGTGTTTTTGGAGGCTTTCATGGCCGGGATCTGATGGTTGTTGTGGGTTTTTCAGGCTGTTTTGGCTGACTTCTGGAGGTTTTTCTTCCTAATGTTTGGCCAGTCTCTGTGGCCGGCATCTTCAGAGGACAGGAGCTAGAACTAGCTAAATAATGGGGCTTTTTGACACAGATCTCACTGTGACTATTAAAGATGGGGCTACACAACCTTCTGTTGCCTTTCAGTTCCGGGGTCTGAGGTCAGCGCTACCATTAGGCAGAATGAGGCAGCTGCCTCAGGTGGCAGATGCCATGTAAGTGGCGTAGAGGAAGCAGGAATAGCAGTTGCCAGCCCTTCCTCTTCCTCTTACAAAATGACCTGCAATCCCTCATAGGAAAAAGCAAAACAGAAATAAAAAGTTTTTAAAAAGGCAAAAACATGGTGGCACCTTAAAGACTTAACTTTTTAAAATGTGAACTTTTCTGGACAAGCAACCCCTCAATTAGCCTCCTGCTTCCCCACCACTAAAGTCAATGATTCACGCATGTGTTGAGTCAACATCTGGAGCTAGAAACTGGGAGATGGAGAATCTTTTCCTTTACCTGTGCTTTGTCCAAAGCTGGGGCAAAACACCTGACAGAGCTGAAAACATTTTTAAAGCTATACATACATTTACAGTCTATTGGCCTTTGTACTTTTTTCCATGTGGCTTCTAGTGAGCAGTGTGCACTTCCTGCCCCACCCCATAAAATGGGCTGCGGTCCACATAAGCTTGTGTCACAATTCATTTGAAAGCTTTAAGATCTGTTTGTGTGCAGCAGCTTATGTGGCAGAGGTGATTTTTTTCCCCCACACTGAAGTTATTTTTTCCACACTGCCACAAATAAACCAAAGAGGGAGGGAGGGACAGAGAGATAGCTGTCAGTCTGGTCCACTGCTAAGCCCAAATTGTGTGGGCAACTACCTGTTCTCATGCCCCAATACACTGTTCACACACTGTGGGAAAAGAATCCGTCCTGGCCTTTCCATGGCTACCTCTTTCTCTGCACTGCTCTGGTGCTCTCCCATCTACACTCTGAAAACATAAAGACAGCAAAGGGATTAACTTTCCTCTTCTTAGATGATGGCGGGAGGAGGAATCCTGTTAGCAGGCCTAATTACTTCGATCTGTATGAAACGGTTTCCTAATGCAGAAACCCTCACAGGAGCTGAGGTGAGCGGAGTCTTAGATTTTTCAATACAGTATTTTGCTTTTTCCCCCCTTTTAGACTAATGAGATTTTTCCGTCTTGACAAGGCCCCGGTCCCAACAGGCACCAACGTTGGTTTTTATTTAACCAAGCAAATGCAACGTATGAACGACGTCCTCAAAACCCTTCCGTCCTTTTCGGGGTGACTGGGAGGGGGTTATAGGGGAACGGAGGAGCCCAACAGGCTTCGGAGCCGCGGTTTCATTTTTCAACAAAGTAGTGAGAAATATGGTAGCGACAGGGAGGGCCCCAGCCGCCCTTTCGCTGCATCCACCCGGCGGTGTTTTCTTGCAAGCACGCTGCAGAAAACAAAAAAAGGAAGAACGAAACGCCTCGCAAACGCCTTGTTTTGATCAGTTAATATTATCCCACCAAGATAGTTCGGACGCAATTGGGAAAATCCTTCGGGTTAGAACTCACAGAATCCGCGATGACTAAAGGATGCTGGGACTTGTAGTCCGAGAAGTAACTTCCACCCAACTTTGGGGGCTATATCATTATCCCACCACCAGCCCAGATATGGAAAGAGACCCGCGGGCAGCAAAGGCAACCGAGAAGGCGCCGTCGTCTTTCCGATCCTCCTTCTCCCCACTGCAGGGTCGAAGTAACATATACAAGTCCCCCCCACCCCCACCCCGAAACAGCCACATGGGCGTCCTAAATTCGGGGTCGCCCAACTTGGAGGGACGATCCTGCCCTCCCGCAACAACTCCCTCCTCCCTCACCCGCCAAATCGAAGAACTTCTCGGTGCGCAGCGCCGCCGCCGCCGCCCACAGACCCCACTGAAGCGCCAGATCCAAGGAGGCCAAGAGGGCGAGGGGCGTCAGTAGCCCCATGGCGACCGAGCGAAGAAGCCCAGCAAGCCAGGACACAAAAAAGCCTGCCCGGACGAAACACTCCGAACTGCGCGAACAAATCGCCGCCCACCCGGAAGAGCCCTTCCCCGGAGTAACCAATCAAGGAAAAGGGCACCGCCCCCATGGGAGGAGCCGGGAGGGGGGGTAGCCGACATTGATCTTGCGTGAGTGGGTGTTTAAGGTCTTCGCTGGCGTGGAGTCTTTATCGGCACCCGGCCTGGTTCGCATGTTTAATTCACACGTGCATGGACGATCGGGGCACGTGGTACTTAATCCTTGCAGCGCATTATCTTGATCTAAAGGTCTGTTTGCCCCTTGACACGAAAGGCATTTAGCTTTCAAGGGAAGTCGCCCTTCTCAGCTGACACCTTATGAAGCGCGCCCAGCCGCTAGCGTCGATCATTCTTGTGGCTTAAGGATGGAATTGGAAAGGTCGACCTTGGTTAATCTGTATTGCGCCTGAAAGCAGGAGGTTCGTTCTGCTCCTTCTGCCTAGAGTGAAATTGGAGACGGCGATGCTTATAATAATCCGGAGAGCAGGAAGGCACAGGAAAGAAGAGGGCTGAAGTGTTTTAGATGAAGATTGGGGGAGATAGGTTCAAATTCCCATTTGGTCATGAAGTTCCTTGGGTGACTTGCCGCCAGTGATTCAGTGCCCCCTTATCTGGACAGGAAGTCGCCTGTACACATCTGCCCTCCCAACAGAGAATTCAGGGTGGTGGCGTTGTAGTGCTTCTCTGCCACCAAAAGTCTGCTGCACAAGATGGCACACAAGGGCATAGGCACCTTTTTTCTGGGGAGAATGGTGCTCCCAGTAGCTGAAGCTTGGGGCAAAGAACTGAATTAAATTTTATAAAAAGCAATGAACATAGCTTGCCCACCCCCTTACAAAGGATTCAAGTACACTTCCAGAGTAGAGCCTTTATTTTTCAACAGAAAAACTAGTGGAATGCAGGAAAAATTGTGGCAATAATTTAAAAATGCATATTTTAAATTCTTACATATCACAGCAACAGTGACTTGAGAAACAACTGCTGGGTAAGGTTAAAGAAGAAAGTGCAAAAGCAGGTTTGCAGTTTAACATAAAGAAGTCCAAAATAATGACTAGGGAAGAAAAATGTAACTTTAATTTTTGTTTTCAGACAATAAAAAAACTGTGGTAGTTAACCATTTTCTATGTCTTGGTTCAATTATTGATGGAATGGAGACCACACCCAAGAAATCAGAAGAGCAGCTGGGAAAGAACCAGATATTCAGGAATGAAGCATGTATCACTAAATATCAAGACCAAGAGCATGGAATATTTGATAACTGTGAACAAAATTTATTTGAAATGTGATGTGGGAGGGTAGCTTTAGATATAACTGGGACCTCCCAGAAAAACAGTAAGTAGATGCTGGTTCAAATCAACCCTGTGCTCTCACTAGAAGCTAAAATGGTTAACAGAGCCTCTTGTTCTTTGACATGTTATGAGAAGACATGACTCGCCTAGAGTGGACAATAATGTAAGGAAAATCTGAAGGTAGCAAGAAAAGTAAAAAAAAAAAATCAAACATGGTCCTGAGTTTGCAATACCCAAGCAGGACCATGGAAGGTTATTGACTCAGAGGCTGAAATCCACTAGTTATGTAAAGTTAAGCCACATAAGCCTAATATTTTCCCCCCACCAGCCCCAGTTTGTAGGATCCCTTTAGTCCTGGGGAAGCCTGTGGGAACAGTGGGTGAGGAGTCTTAAATGTCCAAAAATCACTGGGCCTGGGCCTGCTAGGCTGTCAGGACCAATGATAGCAATTTCCAGACATATAAGACTCTTTTCCTTCATCCTGCTGCCCTCAAAGGGAGACAAAGGAAACCTGTGAAGTGGGTGGTGACAAAACTTTTCATTAAGAAAATATGGCCGTGGCTGATGATATCATCAGGCTTATGCAGTGTAGCATTATGTTAGTGGATTTCACCATTGAGGAGCCACACGTCAGAAGCAACTTGATGTCATATGACAACCACAATCCTTCCAGAAGAAGAAATAAAGAGAACTCAGGGTGGAGACGCAGCTCTGGGTGGACTGCACGGTAACTCTGCCTGGAATGACGAGCTGCCTCTGGCGATCAGTAGCCATTTTATCTCTGACCCATTTGGCTGTGCGGTTCGGACCTTCAATGCTCAACTTACCTTTGAGGGAAACTTCCCAGTTGCAGGCAGTGTTCTTGCTTTGGAAAGTGGCCCCTGCGGCTCCATTGGGTCTTTTTCACATGAAGATTTGAAGTGCTGAGGTCTAAGTCTGAGTAGTACTACTGATTGGGCAGGTGGGGTGATCTCCACCTGAATCCACAGAAGTCGAGGTGTCAATTATATGTAGATTGTGGAAGAAGGATAGCTGGTGACCCTGGTTTCCACCCCAATGGGCACTAATTACCTTTGCTGGTAACCTAGACCTCCTAAGGGGTGTCAATTATATGTAGATTGTGGGAGAAGGATAGCTGGTGACCCCGGTTTCCCACCCCAGTGGGCACTAACTACCTTTGCTGGTAACCTAGACCTCCTAAATCCAGGGAAAGGTAGCTGTGCTTTATATACCGGAATGCATCAAAGATGCTCTCTGCCCATGATCAGAGACTCGTGCCCCTATCGTTAACGCCACTTTTCACCAGCCCTGAGCCCTGACATTGAAAACAGTTTCTGGGATAAAGACAGCAACTCACTTAAGCTCTGAAATCCATCAAGTCTGAATGCTTTGCCATCAGCGGCATAGCTTTCTTCTTATAATTGCCTCAACAATCTCTCGTTTAATCTCTGCAGCTCATCCATCAATGGAATGAGATCTGGGATAAAGCAAGGGGATGCACCACTAGATTCAAGCCATGTGTAATAAACCCTCTGCTTGCACTCTAGTGTGGTGTAGACAAATCCCTGTTGATTGTGGTGTGTGCTCTGTGTGTGTGTGTGTGTTTTAAAGCTGCATCCACCCAGAGCTCTTGCAAATATCATCCTTTTAATAAAATCTTACCCATTACAGCTTTGAACGCAAGGGAGTTTTTGCCATCTGCTGAGCAGCAGACACAAAGATTGACACAGTTATTATATTGCTTAGACAGAAATGTTCAATCTCTGTCGTTATCGTTCCTGTATCTCCTGGCCGGGGGGGAAAAAGTATTACAAAGAGATCCATTATTGCTGAAATACATCTTATTTAATGCTCCTTACTTCAAATCAGCAGAGCCATAGGGAGAAACTGCAAGGTCAGGGAGAGTGGAAAGCAAGATGAAAGGAAAAATTGGTGGCAATGGGAACTCTGTTACGCAGAGGCAAGAGAGAGGAGGCTGTTTTAAGTCCAATGTTTAGTAACAGCCTTGCACCTCCAGTGCCCCTACAATACAAAGGAGAACAGATTCCTCCTGCTTAAAAGAAATAAGCTAGCAAGACATAAGCTAAGCAATTCAGGGCAAATGTGGGCTATTTATTTATTTTAAGTTACCACCATCAATAACAAGAAAGTTACACGGAGGAAACAGAGAAAGCTGAAAAGTGATGGGAGACAACAAAGCAGTATGCCAAGGCTGGATGACATAATTGGTGTTTGGAGAGTTTTCCCTATGCAAATGTTCTTAACACCCTTACAGTGCTGGAATATGAGGCCTAAAGAATAAGATAGATATTTGGAATCAAATGAGAATCACAAAGTCATAACGATAGTGAAATGGTCTGTGTATCTTCACCTGTGAACAGTCAAAAAGGCGAATCCATCAGATTAGCAGGTTGATTACTCCTAGGAGCATTCAGAGCAGGAACAGTTACTTTTTTGACTACAGATTCTCTAATTCGCAACTGGGGAATTCTGGGAGTTGTAGTCGAAGAAAATGTTTCTTCCAAGCTCTGAGATATAGAGTGAATTAAGCTGTTAGTGACACCCTCCAATGATTGCCAAAAGTTTTGGTTATTGAATTCAGAGCCAACTGATGCAGTCTGCAGTGGCTGAACATGGAGCAAAGGGCAGATGTTCATCAGATGGAAGCCGTCCCAAGGCCATATCTGCACCCTACAGCAGTGGTCCCCAACCTTGGGCCTCCAGATGTTCTTGGACCTCAACTCCCAGAAATCCTGGCCAGCAGAAGTGGTAGTGAAGGCTTCTGGGAATTGCAGTCCAAGAACATCTGGAGGCCTAAAGTTGGGGACCACTGCCCTACAGCAAGGATGGAGAACCTTGGGCCCTCCAGATATTTGGGACTAAAATACCCACATTCTGTATCACATGCTACACTGGCTAAGGCTTCTCGTAGTCAAAACTTCAAAGATTTGATTAGTCAAAATGCTGGTGAATCAGCACTACAGAATAGACATCAGTAGCAAATTTTTTATTTTATTTTTTGTCTTCTTATGAAACAATGGGAATTATAGTTCTACGAAGGGGAGCTACTGATTTCTGACAGAGAACTTTCCATAACAAGGGTAAGCAACCTCAGCCTTCCAGATGTTTGGGAATACAGCTCTCATGAGCCTCACCCAGACTAAGCAGTGCTCCCAGTTTATGGGAAATGTGCTCCAAAACATCTGGAAGGTACCAGATTAGGTACCAAGCTCCAACCTATAACTCCCAGTATTGTTTGATGATGGCCATAACTATTAAAGCAGTTTACAACCACTGTGATGAGGATGGTAGTGTGGGCATGTCCTGAGACTATGATTTTGGTATCTTTGGTATCTCTCTCTTTTTAATTG